AGCGATAAAACTCGATCTGTGAACAGGTCCTGAACGTTGTTTTTTTTCTTGATGTCAGCGCGATGGATTTTCTCCTTTTCCTCTCTGCGGCTCATGTAAGTGGTTTGAGCTCGTGATGTTTAAATTTGTTTGTTTACAATAGAAAACGATTGCTTTTCAGGCACTCATTTTCAGTTTTTTCGCGTCCTACAATACTCGTAAAATTATCCTGCTCTAATACACAACTAGAAGTGTTATAACCTCTATTCATTTCTAGCAAAACTGTATTCGAGGATCCCGTGATATGCAAAGACGGGCACTCATTCTGCAAAGAATGTATTGACCAGAGGTTGAAGGAGAACAAAAAATGTCCAGTGGATGGTAGAATGATAGATAACCAGACCTTTTCACGTAATTTTGTCCTCTGTGGTATCCTGGAGAAACTAGATGTATTTTGTCAAAGACCACACGAATCAAAAGGTGAGGCTGGAACAAATTTAGGTTAGTGTTAATAATGAGGCTCCATTTGTGATTGTCATACAGCAGGGCTTTGAGCAAGCGATGTCCTTCGGCATGCACGGTTATATGCATCTGTTATTGTTTTTTTTCAATGCTGAAACCATTTTTGCAAGACTATTTCTAAAGGATTGAAGAGTATAAAAGGAATCTTAATTTGTCGTTGATCAAGGGTGGATATAGGAATATGTGGAATTGGGGACGGGAGGGCGATGTAGGAGAAAATGAATAGAGTTTTTTGGTTTGGCGTATTTTTCATCCCGCAAACGGCAAATGGTGGTCACGTTACATTTCATAGTTTTTTCTGTATATCACTAGCTTTAAAGTATTTTTCACTGGTCAACTGGCGTTTCACGTTTGCCATGAACATAGAAGAATCATTCCCTTGTATTAACTTTGCCGTAAACGAAGTTCTAATAAGACTTTCTATTACCTCCACATGCACAAAAGCATTGGGTAGAGTATAAAACATATATCTTTAGAAAAGTATCACCAAACTGATAGTTGCTTTAGCTTCCTTTAAATCTGCATTTGCCTTCCAACTATCGCATTAGGTGAAAAAGATGTTCAACAAACTTGTGAATGGATTGGGAAACTACATTCACTCGCCAAACACAGAGAAACTTGTCCTTTCCAACAAGTACAGTGTCCTAATGTGAAMTGCAACTCCATGCTGCAGAGAAGAGAATTGGCTAACCATGAGAAAGTGTGCCGGTTTAAAAACGTTTTATGCGAGGAATGTCAACTTGGTATGGTTCTACACCAAGTCGAGAAACACAAAGAGGACGATTGTCCAGAAACACTGATTCTTTGCCCTAACGAATGTACTGACCCACAAGGAATGACTGTAAAGATTAAGAGGTAAGCACATCATCGCCTAGGGGGGAAGAGGGATAGATGATTTAGCATCATAGAGATCAACTAATCGTTAATCCCCCCAAGAATAACTATACGATTTTATGATACCCCATTATTCATTATTAGTGGTTGCTACTGAGTAATCCTCCCTTTAATACTGATCTCTAACTTGATCTTCCGTAACCCCTCCGATCCACCCACCCCCTCTACTATAAACGGTGAAAAATTTTCAAGTCCATCCAGCAATAAATTCTCTTTTCGAGTCATTCAGGGCTAACAAAGTGCTTGTTTTTGTTGTTTTGCGTTAATATTTCTTAATATTTAGGAGCAAATCTAAAATACATCTAGCAAACAACTGCAAAAGAACAGCCATCCATTG